GATATGGAATCAACCTAAATGACCATCAACTGATGAGTGAATAAAGATAATACACACGCATACATACATACACACACACCATGGAGTACTACTTGGCCATAAAAAAACAATTAAATATGTGTTTTATAGCATCTTGAGTAGAACTAGAGACCATTATCCTAAGTGAAGTATATCAGGAATGGAAAAACAGATACCACATTTTCTCACTAATAAGTGGGAGTAAAATTATGGGCCCACATGGGCACAAGGAGATATAAAAGACATCGGAAAATGAGACAGGTGGAGAGTGGGAGGGGGTTAAGGGATAAAATCGATCTATTCAGTACAATGTGCACTATTCTGGTGATAGATATGCTGAAAACTCTGACTTCAGCATTATATAATTCATTCACATTACAAAAATCACTTTTACCCTCTAAATTTTTTGAAATAAATCAATAAATAGAAACATAGAATTAAAGGCAATATAATGGAGCAAAGTTAGCATTTCTACCAGAAATAAAAACAAATAGAGTCAGTTTCAGATACCCCTTTCCTAAGAAAGAAAAATACTCATCAAAGCCCATATAAGATGCTAAAAGGCAACCCCTATTACTAGAACAATAGCAAGCAAGGAGCAGGTTAAAAAACTAGAGGAGAGGGAGTTGATACTGTACGAAGAGCTTTATATCTATTACCACATTTAAGTCTCCCAACAACCCTATGAGGAGGGAAATAGGATCTCACTGTCACAGACTGAAACTGAGGCTAAAGACAGTTAAGTAGCTTGCTCAGCGTAAGGAGTAAGAAATGAAAGAGTCTGGAATAGACTACCAGTGCATCTTCAGTCAAATCATAAAGAATTCAAAATAGAAACAAGCGATGTTTGAACTGTTTGTTTATAATCTTAGGTAGCAGACATACAGAGAGAAAACATTCTTTCACAACATGCTTGATCCTGTCAGATACGTGTCATAAGGATATGGATAGATGTATGGATGGACAGATGGACAGATGGGTGGGCAGGCAGACTGAAAGAGGATGCACGCCTCGTGGAGTTCCAGGGAAAACAATTCTTCTGTGAATAGCTGTTAAAGCACCATTAACAACCGGTGCTAACAACAAAATAGAATAAAATATTGTATTTAAAGTTGTCATTTGAAGATGTAACACATATTTTACTTTATATTGCATGTAGAGTTTTCCAATATTATATTTAGAGGAATGAGGGAAATTCACAAACTGCCGATGGTTTCAAACTTTCTATCTCAACATTAGAACCTAAAGCAAAAATGTACATTTCTTAAAAAATACATGATTTCACTTCAATCAAACATTTCTCATTCATAGGACTGCAGGCTTTCATTTTTGTAAAACAAGTCATAAATTAAATCATTTTGTTGAAAAACTAGGGTTCTTTAGGGGGATGGTATGTGCTTTTTTTTTCTCGGCGACATTGACATACATCTTTTTTTTTTTTTTTTTTTTTTTTTTTTGAGACAGAGTCTCGCTTTGTTGCCCAGGCTAGAGTGAGTGCCATGGCGTCAGCCTAGCTCACAGCAACCTCAAACTCCTGGGCTCGAGTGATCCTTCTGCCTCAGCCTCCCGAGTAGCTGGGACTACAGGCATGAGCCACCATGCCCGGCTAATTTTATATATATATATCAGTTGGCCAATTAATTTCTTTCTATTTATAGTAGAGACGGGGTCTCGCTCTTGCTCAGGCTGGTTTTGAACTCCTGACCTTGAGCAATCCGCCCGCCTCGGCCTCCCAAGAGCTAGGATTACAGGCGTGAGCCACAGCGCCCGGCCTTGACATACATCTTTAAAAGGTGAGAGTCTCTTCTCAACTGACTCATTTGAAACAACACACCTCAGCATGCCAAGGAAATAAAAGGGAAGAGATCATAGAATGAGGTGAGGTGGGAGCAATGTGGGATGTTGATTACAACCAAACACTTCATTTTTTAAAAGAAAAATGAAGGCCAGTGACGTCAAGTGACTTCTCCAAGCTTACACAGCAGTTGCTGGCCAACTTGGGGTTCACACTCATGCATTCCTGATTCAGAAATATTGCTACTGCCTCTGTATCACAGTACCTTTCACTAGACCTAGAAAACATACTGTGGGCCAACATGTAAGTAAACAAGAAAATGTAAATCCATTCCTTCCACCTGTGAGTCTAAAAGAAAATCATAGTAACAGAAATGCAGATGTTTTTCTTGTTTATTTCAGACTAGTGGAATTATTTCCCTTTACCTTCCCCCACTCCTACTTCTTGTCCTTGTTTAGAGATGCGACTTATTTTCTAACCCTGTTCACCTCAGCACTGCAAACCGGATTCCAATCACATTATTAAAATAAAAGAATATCTCTTGGGTCAGCAGAGTTCCCACTAGTTGCACCCTTTATCCTTTTGACAGGTAACACGGAGGATCGGAATGCTGCCATCCAACTGGGAAACGTCCCAGAAATACAAATGAGAAGCTCAACCTGCTTCTCACAGGCCGTGGCTCTGCTATGGAATGTCATCAAACAGATCGAAGTCTGCATTTCCTTAATTAATGATCATCTCACCAGGGGAGAGGGAGTGGATACTGTTTTAATCTTTGTAAAACTTTTCTGCAAACACTGGAGCTCTCTTGAGCATTCACAGGGATATAACAAGCCCTTGTCCTGAATAATATACTCACTCTTCAAGCTTTATTTGTTCAGCTGACCCTATGAATAGATGTTCTGAAGCCCGTAAAAAGAATTTTAAAAGGGAAATTTATATAATCAAATCTTTCTACCATCACTTCAGCAACAACCATTTAGTATGCACCTACTATGTGCCTTGCACTAAGCCAACCCTTGGAAAAGGTCTAAGTTAGGCTCTGTTTGAAAGAATCATAATTTTATGGGAAAGACAGATCATATTCACAAAAAGCGTGTAAGATTTCACTGTACTAGGACAATAAAATTCCCTAATAGCACACTTTTTCCCCTCTAAATCTAACTCTAATCTAAATCTAAATCTAAACAGATTATCAATTTGGAAATTGTGCTTAAGTCAAACTCAACTCTGCTTTGTGGTACTAGGACTGGAACTGGGAAAACCACATCTCTATTTTGCCAACCACTCCCTTTCGTGCAAGAGGGGAATTGCAAAGGCATCAGAATGAAGAAGGGACTTCATCCTTCTTGCTTGTTCACTTTTTGCTTTTTCCTGTCATCATCCTAGCAATGATTCTTCAATTCAACAGCAATGTTTGTTTGATTGATTGATTGATTTTTAGTTTTGGCACTTGGTTCCAGTTTGCAGTTTTTCCAACATTTGAAGAACAATCCTTATGGCACCCTGGGATAACAATAACAATAACCAGCTGGCCAACACCCTCTCTGCTTGTAGACATCCAAGTGCCAGTTCTATGATACCATTACTCCATGCTCAGAGACACTAGCACCAGCTAAGAAATGCCTCGTCCACAGATACCTAAGTTTCAGCTTTGTGAAGCCTCTTCTCCAGGCTTCTAAATGTTAATAATTCCAACCTCTCCCGTTTGTTTCCCCAGCCCAAGGTAGCTGTTTCCTGAGGATGCTATTTCTGTGATACCTTAAGGTTCTCTTTTAGTATTTTTAGTGCTTTAATATGTAGGTACAATTCATTATACTAAATCCTCTCTTTTAAAATAACTGGTATGGTTTCTGTCTCCTGAATGGACAGATTACAAAGTTCAATGGAGCCCATTTCCTTGACAGCACAGGTCATGGCTGGAGTCTGACTGCTAGAATTTGAATCTCAGCTCTATTATTTAGTAGCTTTAATAAAGTTGACTTAATAAAGTTCATTGAATACAGTTCACCTGTTACATTGGGATCATTGAGGTAATAACAGTATCTACTTCATAAAGGTGTGAGAATTGAATGTCAATATTTAAATGGTCATATGTACATGTCAATTGTTACATGTATATATGTCATATGTTACATTGACAGTATGTAATAAGTCAATGTAAAGTTTACAATAATGCCAAACCTATGGAAGCACTATTAAAAATGTGGCTACTGCTCTCACAGAGCAAACCACACACCATAAGATGTGTGTGCACTAGTGGGAAGAAATGATGATGATGATCAAGGTGTTGCATTTTCCTATTTCTTAAATGAAGATTTAAGGTTTCTGCAATTTTGCTGTGGTCTAGCTAAGGAAGTGGGAGAATTTAGCCTGCCATGAAAGAGAGAACACAAAGAAACAAATGTTAACAAAATTAAGTGTAGACATTTCCTATCTCTAATATCATAAAAATTCAAACTTCTTCCTGAGTATATAGTTCAGAGACAGTAAATAACTGGTATACCTTCCTGGATGTTTCCTTAATTCAGTACATACCGCTAATGTGAAACAGTGATGACGCAGGGAAAAGAAAATCAGCTTTGGAGTCAGGGTTGGTTTCCAACTCGAGCTCTACCACTTCCTATTTCTGAGACTGTGACCAGTTACCAACTTCTCAGAGGCACATAGCCCTCACTTAGTAGGCATTCAATAAACAGCAGTATTTTTCTACTTTCTATAAATACTCCCTGAGTAAATTCACTCGCCTAGTTTCACCTTGTGCTATTTCTGCCGTTTCTTCCCCCATAAATGCAATATAAAAGTATTACTCATCCGCACGTATCAGTCAAATGAAAGCCAGCAGAATCTCAATGATGACTAATATATTAGGTTAAAGGGTCTAAAATTGTTCCAGCTCCTGCTATGTTACCCTGGAGAGACAGTGTATTCAGCTCGCCAAAGAAATGTGAACTTTAATAGGCAAGTGCAGGCACTTAGGTGCATCCTTACCTTTTAAAGAAGCTTCTTTGACATGGCACTTACTTTACCTAGTAAGTACATCAATGGGGAGGTGGGCAGAAAGGAGCTGGAATTCAGCACTCACCTAGAAAGTGCAGTTTTCTAAGCAGAGAATATTTTTTGAGACAAGATATTCAATTTACTAAAGAAATCCATGGAGAAAGGTTTATTTAAAAGAGATGGGACACTGTCCCAGCTGCCACCTAGACTCGGAGCTCCATCCAAGCCCCCAGCGAAGACATCCCAGCCATGGCCATCCAGAAAATCTTTGCCCGGGAAATCCTGGACTCCAGGGGCAACCCCACCGTGGAGGTGGATCTGTACACAGATAAGGGCCAATTTCGAGCAGCTGTGCCCAGTGGGGCTTCCACAGGCATCTATGAAGCTCTGGAACTAAGAGATGGAGACAAATCCTGCTACCTGGGGAAAGGAGTCCTGAAGGCTGTGGAACACATCAACAAGACTCTAGGTCCCGCTCTGCTGGAAAAGAAACTAAGCGTTGTGGATCAAGAAAAAGTTGACAAATTTATGATTGGGCTGGATGGAACCGAGAATAAGTCCAAGTTTGGGGCCAATGCCATCCTGGGCGTGTCCTTGGCCGTGTGTAAGGCAGGAGCAGCTGAGAAGGGGGTCCCACTCTACCGACACATCGCAGATCTCGCAGGGAACCCTGACCTCATACTCCCAGTGCCTGCTTTCAATGTGATCAATGGGGGTTCCCATGCTGGAAACAAGCTGGCCATGCAGGAGTTCATGATTCTGCCCGTGGGAGCCAGCTCCTTCAAGGAGGCCATGCGCATTGGAGCCGAGGTCTACCACCACCTCAAGGGGGTCATCAAGTCCAAGTATGGGAAGGATGCCACCAACGTGGGTGATGAGGGCGGCTTTGCACCCAACATCCTGGAGAACAATGAGGCCCTGGAGCTGCTGAAGACAGCCATCCAGGCGGCAGGTTACCCAGACAAGGTGGTGATCGGGATGGATGTGGCAGCCTCTGAGTTCTTTCGCAACGGGAAGTACGATCTTGACTTCAAGTCACCTGATGATCCGCACGGCACATCACTGGGGAGAAGCTGGGGGAGCTGTA